ACTCTGCCAGAATATAACTTCAATTTGTAATGAGCTGGCTGCAGGATGGGAGTTATCTCCCTTAGTCTTGTGGTGCCAGCCAGTCTCATGTGCTGTTTGATTATACTCCCTTATTCCATTGACCAATGACTTTAGCTTGTGGTGCCCGCCAGTCTCATGTGCTGTTTGATTATACTCCCGTATTCCATTGACCAATGACTTTAGCTTGTGGTGCCCGCCAGTCTCATGTGCTGTTTGATTATACTCCCGTATTCCATTGACCAATGACTTTAGCTTGTGGTGCCCGCCAGTCTCATGTGCTGTTTGATTATACTCCCTTATTCCATTGACCAATGACTTTAGCTTGTGGTGCCCGCCAGTCTCATGTGCTGTTTGATTATACTCCCGTATTCCATTGACCAATGACTTTAGCTTGTGGTGCCCGCCAGTCTCATGTGCTGTTTGATTATACTCCGGTATTCCATTGACCAATGACTTTAGCTTGTGGTGCCCGCCAGTCTCATGTGCTGTTTGATTATACTCCGTATTCCATTGACCAATGACTTTAGCTTGTGGTGCCCGCCAGTCTCATGTGCTGTTTGATTATACTCTCGGTATTCCATTGACCAATGACTTTAGCTTGTGGTGCCCGCCAGTCTCATGTGCTGTTTGATTATACTCCCCGTATTCCATTGACCAATGACTTTAGCTTGTGGTGCCCGCCAGTCTCATGTGCTGTTTGATTATACTCCGTATTCCATTGACCAATGACTTTGATGTGGTGCCCGCCAGTCTCATGTGCTGTTTGATTATACTCCCCGTATTCCATTGACCAATGACTTTAGCTTGTGGTGCCCGCCAGTCTCATGTGCTGTTTGATTATACTCCCCGTATTCCATTGACCAATGACTTTAGCTTGTGGTGCCCGCCAGTCTCATGTGCTGTTTGATTATACTCCCTTATTCCATTGACCAATGACTTTAGCTTGTGGTGCCCGCCAGTCTCATGTGCTGTTTGATTATACTCCGTATTCCATTGACCAATGACTTTAGCTTGTGGTGCCCGCCAGTCTCATGTGCTGTTTGATTATACTCCTTATTCCATTGACCAATGACTTTAGCTTGTGGTGCCCGCCAGTCTCATGTGCTGTTTGATTATACTCCTTATTCCATTGACCAATGACTTTAGCTTGTGGTGCCCGCCAGTCTCATGTGCTGTTTGATTATACTCCCTTATTCCATTGACCAATGACTTTAGCTTGTGGTGCCCGCCAGTCTCATGTGCTGTTTGATTATACTCCCTTATTCCATTGACCAATGACTTTAGCTTGTGGTGCCCGCCAGTCTCATGTGCTGTTTGATTATACTCCCTTATTCCATTGACCAATGACTTTAGCTTGTGGTGCCCGCCAGTCTCATGTGCTGTTTGATTATACTCCATTATTCCATTGACCAATGACTTTAGCTTGTGGTGCCCGCCAGTCTCATGTGCTGTTTGATTATACTCCGTATTCCATTGACCAATGACTTTAGCTTGTGGTGCCCGCCAGTCTCATGTGCTGTTGATTATACTCCATTATTCCATTGACCAATGACTTTAGCTTGTGGTGCCCGCCAGTCTCATGTGCTGTTTGATTATACTCCCCTATTCCATTCCATTGACCAATGACTTTAGCTTGTGGTGCCCCAGCCAGTCTCATGTGCTGTTTGATTATACTCTCCCTATTTGATTCCATTGACCAATGACTTTAGCTTGTGGTGCCCGCCAGTCTCATGTGCTGTTTGATTATACTCCCTTATTCCATTGACCAATGACTTTAGCTTGTGGTGCCCGCCAGTCTCATGTGCTGTTTGATTATACTCCCTTATTCCATTGACCAATGACTTTAGCTTGTGGTGCCCGCCAGTCTCATGTGCTGTTTGATTATACTCCCTTATTCCATTGACCAATGACTTTAGCTTGTGGTGCCCGCCAGTCTCATGTGCTGTTTGATTATACTCCCGTATTCCATTGACCAATGACTTTAGCTTGTGGTGCCCGCCAGTCTCATGTGCTGTTTGATTATACTCCCCGTATTCCATTGACCAATGACTTTAGCTTGTGGTGCCCGCCAGTCTCATGTGCTGTTTGATTATACTCCCGTATTCCATTGACCAATGACTTTAGCTTGTGGTGCCCGCCAGTCTCATGTGCTGTTTGATTATACTCCCGTATTCCATTGACCAATGACTTTAGCTTGTGGTGCCCGCCAGTCTCATGTGCTGTTTGATTATACTCCCGTATTCCATTGACCAATGACTTTAGCTTGTGGTGCCCGCCAGTCTCATGTGCTGTTTGATTATACTCCGTATTCCATTGACCAATGACTTTAGCTTGTGGTGCCCGCCAGTCTCATGTGCTGTTTGATTATACTCCCCAGTTATTCCATTGACCAATGACTTTAGCTTGTGGTGCCCGCCAGTCTCATGTGCTGTTTGATTATACTCCCGTATTCCATTGACCAATGACTTTAGCTTGTGGTGCCCGCCAGTCTCATGTGCTGTTTGATTATACTCCCGTATTCCATTGACCAATGACTTTAGCTTGTGGTGCCCGCCAGTCTCATGTGCTGTTTGATTATACTCCCGTATTCCATTGACCAATGACTTTAGCTTGTGGTGCCCGCCAGTCTCATGTGCTGTTTGATTATACTCCTTATTCCATTGACCAATGACTTTAGCTTGTGGTGCCCGCCAGTCTCATGTGCTGTTTGATTATACTCCCCAGTATTCCATTGACCAATGACTTTAGCTTGTGGTGCCCGCCAGTCTCATGTGCTGTTTGATTATACTCCCGTATTCCATTGACCAATGACTTTAGCTTGTGGTGCCCGCCAGTCTCATGTGCTGTTTGATTATACTCCCTTATTCCATTGACCAATGACTTTAGCTTGTGGTGCCCGCCAGTCTCATGTGCTGTTTGATTATACTCCCTTATTCCATTGACCAATGACTTTAGCTTGTGCCCGCCAGTCTCATGAACCCCCATTCCATTGATACTTGACTTGAAGAGTTTGATGCTCCAGATCATTTTCTATCCAGAGAAGTACCAACTCTTGAAGTTAGCTGAAGAGGCGTACAGGGGCAGGATTCTATCTTTGTTGGACAACAGCATCACTATGTCTCAAAATTAATTGTATTGTCACTGGCCTGTCAGCACAAACATGGGTATTGATAATTGTTACAGTTTTACCAAAGTTCCAGTAAGAGTCGAAGAGGCGACAATAATTTACTGGGTCCACTCATTACTGGTGAAGGAAGACCCATTATGTGTTGATAAGTTCAAACGATATGTAAGCTGTTCATTTACTGCAACTTGTAATGCATGAAATACCACTATGCCAGGTTTTCATTTGAAGTCAACTTTATGTTGTATATGTTATGGTTTTTTTCTTATCAGAATGGGTTTTCATAATTTCAGAAAATCAGAAAGCACATACACTGTCCATTTTCATTTTTTTGTACAGTGCCTGCTTTTAGTGCCACCTGGCTGATAGGCTTGGCTGCATGTACAATTGTTGTCACTGGTTATAAAACATAGCATAGATGCTGGTTTAGCAATTGTCATAACACATGCTCAGTATCAGATACATTCAACAAAACCAGAAGGAATAGATGTCTCAAATCAAGTACATTGTTGTCACATACAAGATGGACTTGGAAGCATCACTGCAGCCAACTCCAGTCTGGTAGCACAACAATGTTGTCATGTACGAGATGGACTTGGAAGCATCACTGCAACCAACTCCAGTCTGGTAGCACAACAATGTTGTCATGTACGCGATGGACTTGGAAGCATCACTGCAACCAACTCCAGTCTGGTAGCACAACAATGTTGTCATGTACGAGGTGGTCTTTGAAGCATCACTGCAACCAACTCCAGTCTGGGAGCACAACAATGTTGTCATGTACGAAATGGACTTGGAAGCATCACTGCAACCAACTCCAGTCTGGTAGCACAACAATGTTGTCATGTACGAGGTGGTCTTGGAAGCATCACTGCAACCAACTCCAGTCTGGGAGCACAATAAATGTTGTCATGTACGAGATGGACTTGGAAGCATCTCTGCAACCAACTCCAGTGTGGGAGCACAACAATGTTGTCATGTACGGGATGGATTTGGAAGTATCATTTGAAACCAACTCCAGTCTGGGAGCACAACAGTGTTGTCATGTACGAGATGGACTTGGAAGCATCACTGCAACCAACTCCAGTCTGGGAGCACAACAATGTTGTCATGTACGAGATGGACTTGGAAGCATCACTGCAACCAACTCCAGTCTGGTAGCACAACAATGTTGTCATGTACGAGATGGACTTGGAAGCATCACTGCAATGCAGCCAACTCCAGTCTGGTAGCACAACAATGTTGTCATGTACGAGATGGACTTGGAAGCATCACTGCAGCCAACTCCAGTTACTTTTACCTTTGTCCCCATTTTACCAAAATTGCAACAACATCGTACCAACATTGCAGCTTCATTGCACCAACTTTCCACAGTAATAGATGGCTAATTATCTCCCGATGTTATACCTATGAGTGTATGCCAAACCAAGGCAACACGTGCCATTGTCGCCATGCAGAACAACAAGCTGGATATGTTACATGTCATCTGGTGGAACAAAAATATTATGTGTACACGGGATAATTCTTCAAAATAAGGTTTGACCCAGAAGATCTTGTTTAGAATTGGTCTTCAGCAACTCATGATTGTTGCAAGAGACAACCAACGGGATCGGATGGTCAGTTTCGCTGACTTGGCTGACACATATTGTTGTATCCCAACTGCGTAGATCAATGCTTATGCTGTCGATCACAGGATTTTCTGATCCAGACTGGACCACCTACAGATGGCTGCCATGTAGCTGGAATATTGCTGAGTGCGGCGTTAAACAACATGCAAACAATACAGTATTAGTCATAATCTAGATGGATACAAGAGTTTACACTTTCATAGCCTGATTTTGTTGTGTCCTTTCAGTTGTGAACAACACTGATCCAAAGCCTGTAGCTGCCAGTATGAAGCGAAAAGAACCCCAGCCTTTCCTGAGGTATTTGGTGGATGAGAAGAAGTTTGTGCTTATCAGACCATGCAGGAGAAAAAGACACGAGAAGAAACAACAGAGTTCACAAGTTACCAATATCACAGCAGATCATAGCAACAGTCTACAGAAGTCAGATGATGATGCCAGTGCTTTTGAGAAACACAGTAAACGTTCACAGAAGTTTGAAGAGGTCGCCAGTGCTTTTGAGAAACAAAGTAAAAGTTCACAGAAGTTTGAAGAGGTGGCCAGTGTATCTGAGAAGCACAGTAGATATCCACAGAGATCGGTTGACGTTGCCAGTGTCTCTGAGAAACACAGTAAAAGTTCAAAGAAGTCTCAAGAGGTCACCAGTGTTTCTGAGAAACAAAATAAAAGTTCACAGAGGTCAGATGAGATTGCCAATGTCTCTGAGAAACATAGTAAAAGTTCACAAAAATCTGAAAAAGTCGCCAGTGTCTCTCAGAAACACAATAAAAGCTCACAGAAGTCTGAAGAGGTCGCCAGTTCTTCTAGGAAACATAGTAAAAGTTCTGAAGAGGTGGCCAGTGTTTCTGAGAAATCAAGGAAAAGTTCACAGAGGTCAGATGAAGGTGCCATTGTCTCTGAGAAACACAGTAAAAGCTCACAAAAATCTGAAAAAGTGGCCAGTGTTCCTGAAAAACCAAGTAAAAGTTCACAGAAGTTACATGAGGTCACCAATATCTATGAGAAAAACAGTAAAAGTTCACAGAAGACGAATGTCTCCAGTGTCATAGAAAAACCCAGCAAGAGCGTAAAGTCAGATGTTGTCTGCAGTGTCACAGAGAAACCCATTAGGAGTGAGAAGTCAGATGTCTCCAATGTCACAGAGAAACCCAGCAAGAGTGGGAAGTCTGATGTTGTCTGCAGTGACACAGAGAAACCCAGCAAGAGTGGGCAGTCACATGTTGTCTCCAGTGTCACAGAGAAACACAGCAAGAGTGGGAAGTCAGATGTTGTCTCCAGTGTCACAGAGAAACCCAGCAAGAGTAGGAAGTCAGATGTTGTCTCCAGTGTCACAGAGAAACCCAGCAAGAGTCGGCAGTCAGATGTTGTCTCTAGTGTCACAGAGAAACCCAGCAAGAGTGGGCAGTCAGATGTTGTCTCCAGTGTCACAGAAAAACCCAGCAAGAGTGGGCAGTCAGATGTTGTCTCCAGTTACACAGAGAAACCCAGCAAGAGTGGGAAGTCAGTTGTTGTCTCCAGTGTCACAGAGAAACCCAGCAAGAGTGGGAAGTCAGATATTGTCCCCAGTGTCACAGAGAAACCCAGCAAGAGTGGGAAGTCAGATGTTGTCTCCAGTGTCACAGAGAAACCCAGCAAGAGTGGGAAGTCAGATGTTGTCTCCAGTGTCACAGAGAAACCCAGCAAGAGTGGGAAGTCAGATGTTGTTTGCAGTGACACAGAGAAACCCAGCAAGAGTGGGAAGTCAGATGTTGTCTCCAGTGTCACAGAGAAACCCAGCAAGAGTGGGAAGTCAGATGTTGTCTCCAGTGTCACAGAGAAACCCAGCAAGAACAGGAAGTCAGATGTTGTCTCCAGTGTCACAGAGAAACCCAGGAAGGGTGGGAAGTCAGATGTTGTCTCTAGTGTCACATCAGATGTTGTCTCCAGTGACACAGAGAAACCAAGCAAGAACAGGAAGTCAGATGTTGTCTCCAGTGTCACAGAGAAACCCAGGAAGGGTGGGAAGTCAGATGTTGTCTCCAGTGTCACAGAGAAACCCAGCAAGAGTGGGAAGTCAGATGTTGTCTCCAGTGTCACGTCAGATGTTGTCTCCAGTGTCACAGAGAAACCCAGCAAGAGTGGGAAGTCAGATGTTGTCTCCAGTGTCACAGAGAAACCCAGCAAGAGTGGGAAGTCAGATGTTGTCTCCAGTGTCACAGAGAAACCCAGCAAGAACAGGAAGTCAGATGTTGTCTCCAGTGTCACAGAGAAACCCAGCAAGAGTGGGAAGTCAGATGTTGTCTCCAGTGTCACAGAGAAACCCAGCAAGAACAGGAAGTCAGATGTTGTCTCCAGTGTCACAGAGAAACCCAGGAAGGGTGGGAAGTCAGATGTTGTCTCCAGTGTCACAGAGAAACCCAGCAAGAGTGGGAAGTCAGATGTTGTCTCTAGTGTCACATCAGATGTTGTCTCCAGTGACACAGAGAAACCAAGCAAGAGCAGGAAGTCAGATGTTGTCTCCAGTGTCACAGAGAAACCCAGCAAGAGTGGGAAGTCAGATGTTGTCTCCAGTGACACAGAGAAACCCAGCAAGAGTGGGAAGTCAGATGTTGTCTCCAGTGTCACAGAGAAACCCAGCAAGAGTGGGAAGTCAGATGTTGTCTCCAGTGTCACAGAGAAACCCAGGAAGGGTGGGAAGTCAGATGTTGTCTCCAGTGTCACAGAGAAACCCAGCAAGAGTGGGAAGTCAGATGTTGTCTCTAGTGTCACATCAGATGTTGTCTCCAGTGACATAGAGAAACCCAGCAAGAGCAGGAAGTCAGATGTTGTCTCCAGTGTCACAGAAAAACCCAGCAAGGGTTGGAAGTCCGATGTTGTCTCTAGTGTCACAGAGAAACCCAGCAAGAGTGGGAAGTCCGATGTTGTCTCTAGTGTCACAGAGAAACCCAGCAAGAGTGGGAAGTCACATATTGTCCCCAGTGTCACTGAGAAACCCCTTGAAGGACTGAGAAATCAGTTGCCAGGAATATTCACAAAACACTCACCATGTTGCAGAATACAGATGGTGTTTTAGATGTCTTAGCTAAACAAAGGCAACAACAAACAGAAAAAGAGGCTTCAGTTGTTTTTGACAAATCAAGTAAAAGACTGCATAATGCACATCAGGCCAACAATGTTTCTGCAAAATGCATCCTCAGAACACAGAATCCAAATACAGCTGAAAGTGTTTCTGGTGCTCAAAACACAAAGCTGCAGAATTCAGAGAAGACTGAAAGTATTTTTCATGAACTCAACAAAACACTGAAATTAGATAAAGTGGAAAATATTTCTGGTAAAAGCAAATCAAAGCAAAAGAATTCTGATGGTGTAAAAGATAAGAAAATTTGTGTTTCTAAAGAGGAAAGTGCCATACAACACCCCATTGTAGGTGATGAGGCAGCAGATTTACTGAAAGAGCAACATCCACATCAAACTGAACACTCAGATGTGAGTAAGAAGTCTGAATTCATGTCACAGGAAAACGTTCAAAAGAGTTTCAGTAATTTTTCAAGCTCTGCAAGTCATGATAATAAGGCAAAGCATCATCAAAACATTCATGGTTCTCAGAGTCCTGGAAACAAGAGTGACTCAGCTCGTCACAAGCCAAACCCTGACAATTCTAATGCTGAGTGCATTCATACAAAACAATCAGCATCAATGAACAATGAGAGACAAACTTTGATATTCGACAAGACAGAATTGCATCTAAGGCACTTATATGCGATTCATTTTGCCAGATTTCTGAGATTTCTCAGAAAGCCAGCAATGTGGACGAGTGTTTTAATGTACCATTTACAAGTAAGTGTGAGTTTGTGTCTCCTGCTTCAAAGAGACATTCACATGATGTTGGAGCACCACCAGAACCAACAGCCATTGAAAGTGTTCCTGAACGTTTACCTGCTGTTGAGGGGACTCCAGAAGTAACACCAGTTGATAAGGATTCTTTAGATCTCAGGACAAATTCTGAAGATTCAAGTGAGATAAGTGGTTTTGCAATGTTATCCAGGACAGATGGTCACGTTGAGATGATTGACAAACAGTGTGTGAGACGTGTGTCTGCTCCATCAAGCACACCTCTGCCTGGTCAAAGATATAACTGCCCCAAAGCAGATAGATATTCAGATCAATGGCAATATGAAAATAGACATGGGAAGGGCAATGTCAAACAGAAAGGTGGACCAACACCCACAAACTCCTCACCAAACTCGAACAAACAGAAGAAGACGTGAGACTTCCTCTACATCTCAAGGATCAGCTAACATCTCTTGGTCTAAAGCTAGACATCACTCATCTGGAAGTTCCAGATCAGTTTATACTGATGAACTTGAAAGTCATAGATACGAAAGCAAGTACAATCGTATGTCGTCCAGCTGCAGAACTGTAGAGGCTCGTGAAAAACTTTTCAAAGAAGAGACAGGACACTCAAGGCCAGAATACAGAAGGTCACATCAAAGAACCAGAACATGGTCAAAAGAAGGTCAGAGAAGCAGCGGTCAAGGAAGTGTTAAGGAGCACAGGCACAGAGACAGACAAGAACCTGATTGTTCTCCGTCAACAAAGAAAAGATCACACAGACATGAGTCACAGAGGTCTGGACACAGAGAGGATTTTCCTCTTTCTCATAGGCTAAGACGTACTAGAGAATGGCGGAGAAACAGGGTACAAAGAGGCCAACACTGCAGTACTCCAAGCAGTGGCTTAGAAAAGCAGATATGTAATGGAAAAGAAATATTCCCAAGTAGATGGTTAGAAGAGCAGTTTTACAGAAATAAAAATCACCCAACTACTTTGTTAGAAGGGCAGTTTTCTAGAAATAAGAGATCCCCACATCTATCGCTTGAGGATCAGTTTTCTAGAAATAAGAGATCTCCAAATCTATCGCTTGAGGATGAGTTTTATAGAAATAAGAGATCTCCAAATCTATCGCTCGAGGATCAGTTTCATAGAAATAAGAGATCTCCAAATCTATCGCTCGAGGATCAGTTTCATAGAAATAAGAGATCTCCAAATCTATCGCTCGAGGATCAGTTTCATAGAAATAAGAGATCTCCAAATCTATCGCTCGAGGATCAGTTTCATAGAAATAAGAGATCCCCAAATCTACAGCTGGAGGATGAATTTTATAGAAGTGAGAGATCCCCAAATCTATGGCAAGAGGATCAGTTTCATAGAAATAAGAGATCTTCAAATCTATGGCTGGAGGATGAATTTTATAGAAGTGAGAGATCCCCAAATCTATGGCTAGAGGGTCGTGTTTCCAGAAATGAAAGATTAAAAAGTAGATCAACAGGAGACCAATTTTATGGAAATGAAAGATCCCCGAGTAGATTGTTGAAAAAGCAGTCTTTTGGTGGAAATGAAAGATCCCCGAAGTAGATTGTTGAAAAAGCAGTCTTTTGGTGGAAATGAAAGATCCCCTGAAGAAACCATACAAGTCAAATGTGTCTCAGGAATATTCAACCACAAAAGATCTGATTACTCCACAAAGATCTTCTAGATGTCAAGATGATGGTGTGATGTCAGGGAGAAAGAGAAAACGTAGCAGTGACAGTTTAAGGACACCTCATTGTAAATTCACAAGGAACAGATCAGTTACTGATTTACGGGAAAAACTGGACAGTTGGAAAAACAAGTCTCGATTAGATTTGAGAGTAACTGATGGGGGAGAAGCAGGATTTACAGGTTATGGCAACGAGAGTTATGATCGAAGTACAGAGCAATATAGGACACCCAGACAGGTGGAAGATCATAGTGAACAGTTGATGTGGGAGACCTCACCATCTCGTTTTACGGATACATCACATGAGAAGATATCTTACGAGAGTGTCAAAATAACAATCAATGGTTCATTTACAGACAGTTCTGCTTTGTGCTCACAAGGTGAAAACAGTGATTTTTATGTTAACAGTGATTCAGATGTAAATACTGTATGTTGTGAAAGAATTCCAGAAGATTTGTGCATATCATCTACTTCTGCAGCCACAGTATTTGTTAACGAAGATTTGCAAACTAACAAAAGTGTTCCAAAGTCCTTTAGCATGACCACTAGACCAGAGGCCAGAGCAAGACGGCAAAGTAATTCACAGAAAACCAAATCTTCAGGGTTAAAGCAATTGCTAAGTATTCTGACCAAAGCAACCGTCACAGTTCTTCCAAGTCCTGAAACATCTAGTGTTACAGAGTGTGCAATGGAAAACCTGGAAAACACTGAACCCAAACGTTGGGATAATCATTCATGTATGAAATATCAACACACAAGTACCAAGGATGGTGGGCTGGCAACGAAAAGCGATGCTCCGTGTTTGTGTGTAGAGCATGGACTGTTAACTGCGCAACCAACCTTACCTGTTTCCAGTGCTGACACATCTGCAGAGGCAAGATTGGGCAAACAGCAGACGTCTGAACGTGATATGCAAAACATAAATAATCTTCATTTGAATGTCAGAGATTCTCAGATATCCCCGACTACTTCCAGTGAATCATTAATGCCAGCTAAGGAAAGGTCATCTCTCACCATTATGCTTCCTTCCACACAACCAGCTAAACACTGTGTTAAGTCAGTATACTGGCCACAACTAGCTGAGCAGCCTGTTGAATCAGAGGACAGGTCACTACCAACTGAGCACCCTGTTGAACCAGTGGACAGGTCACTACCAACTGAACACCCTGTTGAACCAGTGGACAGGTCACTACCAACTGAACACCCTGTTGAACCAGTGGACAGGTCACTACCAGATGAAAACCAGGTTGAATCCGTGGACAGTTCACAACCAACTGAACACCCTGTTGAATTAGTAGACAGTTCACAACTAGCTGAACACCCTGTTGAATCAGTAGACAGTTCACAACCAGCTGAACAAAGTGTTGAATCATTTGACAGGTCACAACTAACTGAACACCCTTTTGAATCAGTAGACAGTTCACAACCAGCTGAACAAAGTGTTGAATCATTTGACAGGTCACAACTAGCTACACAACAGGTTGAGTCAGTGGACAGTTCACCACCAGCTGAACACTGTGTTGAATTGGCAGACAGTTCACCACCAGCTGAACACTGTGTTGAATTGGCAGACAGTTCACCACCAGCTGAACACTCTGTTGAATTGGCAGACAAATCCCAAACTGCAGAACATCAATCAAGAATCTCATTCAAAGCCAGAAATGACACCTTTGCCAGAAAATATCCTCAGTCAGGTGATACCCTCCAGGAATGCTTGACAGTGTGTAGTGAACAAGTTGTTGAACAGCAGCATATCAGTGCAACAGAATCTGATGCTGTACCTGAGTTGTGCAGGTTTGTTGACAATGAACTTCCTAATATTGAGCCCACTGCTGTTGTTTCAAAGGACTGTGTGACCAAGCAGGTTATATGTGAACAATACAAGGCAGAAAGGTCTCCTTATAACGTTGTGCTAGAAGACATTTCTTCACCTTCTGAAACTGATGCCGAGTCACAGGACAAAGTTCAACCTGATGTGAGTCCTGATAACCAAAGCAAATTCTACGAATGGATATCGTCAGGTGAGAATTCTGAAAGTGGTTGGAATGTTCAGCCGTCAAACTGTGACTCTCGCTGTGGCGTTGGAGCACAGTCTCAAACTGTTGACAGGGGGATCGACATTTCTGTAGAATCTGATAACAGTTCATGTTGGAAGAGATTGTCTTTGGAGGGTTCCACAATACAAGAGCCAGAACAAAGTAATCCGCTCTGGGACAATCATTCTGTCAGTGAAACAAGCTTCCTGCCTCCCTTCAATGACCATCCCCGGAGTGTGCAGTGTGAAAGTTTAGACAGTTCACATAGTCCTTCTGAATTGATTTCGGGGGTAGAAGAGGATGAGCCAGATAGGTTTGATGTATCACATCAGAGACATGTCTTGTTTGATTTACATGGAAGAGATGCAGCTCCGTCTACAGGAAGGAAATGTTTTGGAGTGTCAAAAATATGGTGTGAGTCTAAGTTATTTCACAGAAAAGCATCTGAAGCAACAGAATGTGCACCTGAAACATCGAGACTTGCTGAAGACAGAGACAATCTCACTGATGCTGAATCTAATCTGTGTGATATCTTGACTCAAGACAAAGAAAGTGTTTTGAGAGATAAATGTAATTGGCAAGATGTGGAAAGATTAGCTCAGGGCAAAGAAAAACTGACAGATGAAAACAAAACTTTGTCTAAAGTTGATGCTTCCAATAATCGTCAGACAGAAAATCCCACCGTAGCCACAGTGGTGTTCAGCAGAGTTGATGATAGTGAACTTCATCGTGGGCCAACCGTAACAGAAGACAAACAAGCAGGAAGTGACTGTGATAAAGTAATAACATATAAATCAGACCCTGAACAAAACGATTCTTTGGAAAAAAGCAAACCTTCAGATGCTGTCCACACTTGGAAGGAGTCTGACAACAGTGTAACTAAGGCTGGAAGGACTTGTGGAATGGAAAATGTTCTTCCTTTGCCAGTGATCCAAAATATTCAGATTAAAATTGAACCTCCAGAAGAAGACTGCTGTTCAACCAGTGATTGTGTCAGTGAGGAGAGGACTGCAATAAAGCAAGAGCCATTAGAAAAAGATGATGGTGGCATGCAACAAGATGAGAGTTCTCTGTTAAACATTCAAGATGTTAAACTTGAAGATAACAGGGATCAAGAAAATGGTGTTGTAGATGCAGAAGGTCGTCAGAAGGAGGAGTCTGGTGATAATCAGGGAAGAATGGACTGGTCAGATGAGAAGCCATCAGAACAGGACTCCCTCAGTGGAGGATGCAGTAATGACTCTGAAGGAGACTGTGGTAATGATAATGATACTGGGCTCTTCGTTGGTCCTTTCAGTGACCCAGAATCTGACAGTGACAGTGATTTGCCTTCATTCCAACTTTTCCTTGGACTACATCAAGGAAAGGGCAGTGATGAAAAAAACAGCTCTAGAGTTGAGGTTACCCAGAGAAAACTACCCATACAATCACAGCATGGTCATAACAAAATTATGAATGGAAACAAATTAAATAAGAAGAAAACAACCACCTCATCAATGAACAGCCAGGTTGTGAAGACTGAGGCAGAAGAAGAGGAGGATGTCGGACTACCGGTACAGGCAAGTGAATGTTCAACTGAAGAAGCCGATGCAACAGGTCCATCAACTGACTGTCATCAGCTGAATCATATAGCTAAACAAGAATTATGTTTTGAAACATTCAATACTGATGTATCAGACAAGGACACACAGTTGGAAGCAGCCCATGGGTCTGAAAGAGTGTCAAAAAGTCTTGTGGAGGAATCATCCAGCACAGTGAATCCTGAAAATTCATGTTCCAAATCAAGACTCCAATATGAGACATCTTGTGTTTCCAGTCTTGATACAAAGTCGTCAAGTCATTCACGCTCACCAGGTCACAAATCAAAGAAATCATCTGACTTGGGCTACAAACATGACTATTCCTCAAGACAAAGGACAATAAGACATCATTCCAGTGATAATTCAAAACAGAAACGAACTTCTTCACAGGGCAGACATCAGATATCAAAGTCTTCGAGTCAGGCATCTCCTTTAAGGAGTCAAAGAGGTAAAAGTATTATCCACAAGTCTTCCACTTCACCATCATCATTATCAGCAGCAGCATCAGGAAGATCTACATCCAGTACCACTAATGCCAGTGAACAGTATTCTGTTTCTCGTGATATGAACAAACAGTATGAGGAATGCCGTATGACGACCTCAGCTTCCGAGGGAGGTGATTCAGGGGACAGACCTGAACAGGTGGCTCCTACTAGTCATGCCAAGAGAGGTGATTCAGGGGACAGACCTGAACAGGGGGCTCCTACTAGCCATGCCAAGGGAGGTGATTCAGGGGACAGACCTGAACAGGTGGCTCCTACCATGCCACAGGGACAGACCTGAGCCACTGCCATGCCAAGGGAGGTGATTCAGGGGACAGACCTGAACAGGTGGCTCCTACTAGTCATGCCAAGGGAGGTGATTCAGGGGACAGACCTGAACAGGTGGCTCCTACTAGTCATGCCAAGAGAGGTGATTCAGGGGACAGACCTGAACAGGTGGCTCCTACTAGCAGTGCTACAGCTATTATGATTTCTGAAACTGAAGCAAAGAAAGCAAAAAGTTCAACTAATGTGTCAAAGATCAACACTGCAGGTCCTTCCAGTTCTGCAGAATTAAATGACAATATTGCATCAAATTCGGAAACATTCAATGCAGAATGTTTCAGGAGTAAGCAAGTTTACAATGCCGAACATCCAGAGATGACTGAGTTTGCCAGTAGTTCTGTTCAGGAGATGTCTCCAGAATCAAAGGTCCAAAGAAACATGAAGCAGCAACCATATTCAAACCCTTGTCACAAATCCTTTAATTCCCAGTTACAACAACCTGCAGATCAGTCTACTGTGGACACTGCAGCACATTCATCTGAAGATGACAATAATGAATCTGGGAGTCTTGATTTGGAATTGAAGCCAGAGTGTTCAGTTATTCCCAGAGCCAACAAAACTGGCCTGGACCAAGACAGTTCGGGAACCCCAGTCAAATTAGAAAGTGACAGTCAAGGAGAAGAAAATGTGCAGCCTTTTAGTTGTCATGTGTGTCTCAAGAGCTGTGCTTCTCAGTCTGCTCTGAATCACCACCTGATCATACACAGGGACCGCACATTCAAGTGTGGCATTTGTAACAAAGCATTCTATTCCACAAGTAACCTGACCCAACACATGACTGTTCATACTGGAGGGAAACCTGTTCAGTGCAACATTTGTGGAAAGACTCTCTCTTGCCAAGGAAAGATGAAAGTACACATGCGTTCACATACAGGTGAGAAACCGTATGAGTGTACTGTCTGCGGAAAATGGTTTACTGTTTTCTCCTCATTGAAGTCACATCAGATTATACACAACAACTTATCGATAAAATGTGAGTTTTGTGATAAAGTGTTTAAGGATCCCAAACTTTTGGCAAGACATGTTAAGGTTCATGGTGAACGAAAGTTCTATTGTGATGTATGTGGTAAGCCATTCAAGCGTTCTGCCCATCTTAAAGTGCACATAAAGATTCACACTGGACAAAAGGATTTCAAGTGTTACGTTTGCAGTGCAACATTTGCAGAGAGTCATGGCTTGAAAACTCATATGGTGGTCCACACTGGAAGAAGGAGCCACAAATGTCATGTGTGTGGAGATGGTTTTTCTCAGTTTCATAATCTAATGCGACATCTTAAAATCCATACTGGGGCAAAGCCATATAAGTGTGATGTGTGTCAAAAGGAATTTGCAGACAAAGTTTCTTTCAATTTACACATGAACATTCACACAGGCCAACGTCCATATTCCTGCAAAATATGTGACAAGACGTTTGTCCAGCCTGCCCATCTTCGGAACACATCAAAGGGTACACAGAGAACGAAGACATGAATGTGAGATGTGTTACCGTAGGTTCCTTGATTTAGAACAACTTGAGTCACACAGGAAAGTCCACACTGATGGAAGACCCTACCAATGTAACATCTGCCTGACGGGCTTCTCCAATCCGGAATCATTAGTGCGACATAAGCTGGTGTTCTGTAAGAAGAAGAGGAAGCAGTTTGTGTGTGATGTCTGTGATCTCAGGTTTACAACCGCTCGTACGTTGAGGGCACATGAGAAACGACACACTCAACAAGGGGAATTTCCTTGTGGAATATGTGCTAAAAAAGTTTCTATTGTTGTCCAGTCTGAAGATACATAAGAAAAAGGTCCACAATCAGGAAACTTTGAGATGTGATTTTTGTGATAAATCATTTTCAGAGTCTGAAAGTTTACAGTCTCATTACTCTGAACACCGAAAAGATGGTGGTTTCGGATGCACTGTTTGTGAAAAGATAATTCCTGATTTGAGCGATGTGAAGTCTCACATGAAAAAACATAGAAAGAAAAATTGTGATAAAACACCAAAGTGTAACATTTGTGACATTACCTTTTCCGCAGTTAAAGGTTTAAGAGCACACAACAAAAGGAAACATCCTGCTGAAGAAGGTATGAAGACGGAAGATACTGTGGACTCACCCAACATCCAGGAAAATCCTGATGCCAGTGGAAATAATTCACATTCAGGAAAGAATGACAGTAGTTTTATTTGTGACAAAAATAATTCATATGCTACCAATTTGAAAAAACACATTTCAGAGCAACAGAATGTAAAGGACGAAAGAGAAGATTGTGATGGCATACCTACAGAAGAATCCAGCATGACTGCAGATTCAGGATTGTCAACTCAGCAAAACAAAGGAGGTGAAGAAGTGAGCAACACAGTGAAGGTGACCACAGTTTCCTCAGATCAAAGTGCTGAGTTGAAATGTAATATATGCAAGCAGTCATTCACAGATATCTGCCATCTTAAGAAGCACAAGAGACATCAGTGTCATACAAGCAAACCAGAGAAACAGATGGACAAGGATACTGTAGTAGATGGTACAGAGACTGGTGAAACGTCCTCAGGAGACAGCAGAGAAACTTTAGCAGGTGTTCCCAAAACTCAGCAAGCATCCACTAAAGAGAATAACAGAGACATAATACCAGGTAGTGACAAGTCTGGTGTAATATCCCCCAAACAGAAGGACACAGTACCAGATAGTGACAAGTCTGGTGTATTATCCCCCAAACAGAAGAAGGGCATCATACCAGATGGTTCCAAGACTGAAACATCTCCCAAACAGAAGAAGAGAGAGAATATACCAGTTGGTTCCAAGACTGGCGAAACTTCTCCCAAACAGAAGAAGAGAGAGAATATACCAGTTGGTTCCAAGACTGGCGAAACTTCTCCCAAACAGAAGAAGAGAGAGAGTATACCAGTTGGTTCCCAAACAGAAGAAGAGAGAGAATATACCAGTTGGTTCCAAGACTGGCGAAACTTCTCCCAAACAGAAGAAGAGAAAGAGTATACTAGTTGGTTCCAAGACTGGCGAAACTTCTCCCAAAGAGAACAAGGACACTATGCCAGTTGGTTCCACGACTGGCGATACACCCACAAAACAGAGCAAAGCAAATGCTGAAACACCTACTCAACAGAACCTGTTCAGGTCATATGAAGGAACGAAACAATTCAGCTGTGATGTGTGTAAGAAGTTTTATTCTGATGCAGTCCATTTGGAGAAACACAAGCGAAAACATACAGAATGGACCGAATCAGGTCAAGACAAGTTGTTGGGGTCTAGAAAAACAAAACGTGTTAGTGATGATGGCGATAGTAAGGACTCACCCATGGCCAAGAAGATAAAGCTTGAGACTTTTGCCATCTCTGAGGAGGAACATACTCCCACTCAGAAGAACTTCTCATGTACTGTATGTGACAAGAGTTATTCCTTCGCTGCACTTCTTGAGCGTCACATGAAAAAACATTCCAGCTCACCCTTAAAATGTGACCTTTGTGGTAGGACATTTTCTGACAAATCCCATCTGAAACATCATAAGGAAAAACATCACAAGAAGGATGATGTGACAGAGAAGGGGCTTGCTGATGAGAAGGTCCACAAATGTGATGTTTGTGAGAAAGTGTTCATCCAGAAAATATCTCTTGAAAAACATATGAACATCCATGTTGGAGCAAAACCATATAAATGTGTTCACTGTGACAAGTGCTTTGGTGACAGCAACAGTCTTAAGGTGCATACGAGACGACACATCGGGGAGAAATCTCACGTTTGTGAAATTTGTAACAAAGCTTTTTATGAGAAAACTGGATTGACTGAACACTTACGTATCCATACAGGTGAAAGGCCTTTCAAGTGTACATATTGTGACCACAGATTTTCTGACCGAAATACTTTGAAACATCACTTAAAAATACACACTGGATCCAAACCATATTCATGTGACAAATGCCAGAGTACTTTCAGGACGTCCTCGGCACTGAAAAGTCATCAACTGTCTCATTCTGAAGAACGGCCTTTCAAGTGTGATATTTGTGAAAAAAGTTTTAAAAGCAAAGTTGCGCTCGATGACCACACAAAGATTCATATTGGAGATTATCCTTTCAAATGTGAACAGTGTGATAAGGCCTATACAACGAAGGCCGGTTTGAATGCACATACCGACTCATAATGCAGTCAGGAACCAGGAGTGTCAGGAGTGTGGGAAAAACTTTACTACATCAAACAATTTGAGACAACATATGTTGATTCATAGCAGACTACAGAACTTTAAATGTGAGAAATGTGGCAAACGTTTCACCACTTCCTCCAGTCTCTATGTACATATGAAGACCCACAGTGATGACAAGCCCTACAAGTGTCAGCAGTGTGACTTCAGCACCAGGGAATATGGCAATCTAACCAAGCACCAACTGATCCATACAGACCGCACAAAGACATTCAAATGTGATATATGTGACAAAGCATTCTATAAACCAAGCTGTTTAAAATCACACCAGCTGACACATTCAGAAGCACGTCCCCTTAAGTGTGAAGTATGTGATGCTTCATTTAAACAGCCGGGATCCTTAAAGATTCATATGCGCCTCCACAATGATGTAATGCCGTATAAGTGTGATGTTTGTCACAAAACCTTCAGGCAGAAGTCAAACATGAAGACACACATGATATCTCACACTGGTGTCAAACGGTTCAAGTGTGAGGAGTGTGGGAGGAAGTTTGTTTGCAAGCAGTCTTGGGATAAACACATGCTTCAACACAAGGGGATTGAGAAAACCAAGTCAGAATGTCCGGTCTGTCATCAAATGATAATAGATTTAACAGGTCATATGAAAATCCATACTGGTGGAAAGCCGTTTCAATGTGAGTTATGCCCAAGCAGCTTCAACAGGAAGGACTCGTTGCGTTCACACATGGTCACCCACACTGGCCTTAAAGCTCATAAATGTGACATCTGTTCAAAGCAGTTCTCACAGAAGTCTTCCCTTGTCACCCACATGAGGTTCCACGCTGGACTGCGCAACTTTAAGTGTACAATCTGTGATAAAACATTCACCCAGTCTTCCCATCTCAGGACCCATGAGAAAGGAGTCCACAAGAAAGAGCGAGACCATAAATGCAAACTGTGTGGAAAGGGCTACCTTAATTCAGGGCATCTCCGCGAACACATGCGATCACATACGGGAGAGAAACCGTATGTCTGTGCAGTGTGCAAGAGGGGATTCACAAGATCACATTGTTTGAAGTCACATATGCTAGTGCACACAGGAGTGAAGTCCTTCAAGTGTGACGTGTGTAGCCTCTCCTTTGCTCATGCCAATACCCTGAAAGTTCACATGAGAACGCATACCGGCGAGAAGCCTTATACTTGCGACCAGTGTGATGCAGCATTTGGTCGATACGACAGTTTACAGCAACACAAGCTGTCACACACAGGGGAAAGGCCATTCTCTTGTACTGTGTGTAGCAAAACATTCCAAACAAACTCAGGTTTGAAGTGTCATATGTCTGTGCACACGGGTCAGGTCTTCAGGTGCGATGTCTGCGACAAGACGTTTGCATCACAACAAACCTGCAAGGAGCACCAGAGGACTCACACAGGAGACCTGCTGCAGTGTGGTCAGTGTGACAAGACTTTCACAAATAGGTCATCACTGAAGAGGCACAAACTGACTCATTCTGAGGCACAGTCCCTGGAGTGTGAGATATGTGGCAAAGTTATGTCCGGACTGTCTTCAATGCATAATCACATGAAGCTGCATAAGGAAAAGAAACATAAGTGTGCCGAATGTGGTAAGATGTTTCACAAAGCTGCGAGTCTCAGAGCTCACAGGTACAAGCATAATCCCGAGGACAAGCCATACACATGTGATGTTTGCGGGAAGGCGTTTCCGCTCGCAAGCACCCTCAAGGTGCACAAGACCACACATCTTGATAAGCTGCCCTTCCATTGTCACTTCTGTCAGAAAGGATTCGCTCAGAAATCCAACATGAAGAAACACATTAAGGTGTGCCATGAAGATGAGACGAAATCGTCAGCATCTGAGGAACTTGATGAAGGGGCCGTGCTAGATGATGAATCTGACTCCCAGTCCGTCATGGGGGAAGAAGAGACAGAAGAAGTGACAGAAGAAGAGACAGAAGAAGCACCGGGTAACATTTAGGTCATGAAGAATTGTCCAAGTAATCGTGCTTTATGATGAAGAGGCACTCAGACATGGCGGAATCGTCATAAGACATTCTTGGATACTATGTTCAGGCAACTAAGTTTGTAGGGTGAATATGTGATAGGCATTGAGATGCTGGAAGAACATGAAACTATGATGGATGTGAGCATCCCAGCCCAGAGTTTCCCACACCGCCATAGCTGTTGACCAGTTCTTACAGTGTACTGGTCATGTACTGGTAGTGAGTGAGTGATTCTTGTAGCAGTGTTCGGTAGTATCAGGGTGGGGTCACCGGCAACACTATCCATGGTGGGAACTGAACCTGGGTCTTCAGTGTGGTGAGTGGATGCTGTACCACTCGCCTACCAACTGCCCCTTCAAGCCCTGACATGAAAGAGAGTAGAATGATGAATGTTTGATAGGCTGTTAACACAAACACTTGTTGATCTGTAGAGAATACCCTTGTACATAGTGTATATACTTATATACATACACGTTTTATTTATTGACTGTTGGTGTCCATAGACTGGTGTATATCATAATCTATAACTATACATATATATATACAGAAATTCATCGTGAGTTTGAATGGCAAGAAGAAATATCTGGGCAGTACTTCCTACTGCACATTAAATGTTTGATTGTTGGCCAGACCTGGTTATTTTTGTGGTCATTTTGTAAATGTGTCAGTATACTTTCTTTATTGTACTATTTATTTATTATTATTTACTGCTCAGTTTGAGAATATTATGTATTTATTTACTTATTTTAAAGACTTTGATCTGAAAAGTATTCAGTATTGAATTAAATATGTGTTTTAATTATCAACTCACCTGCAGTTCAAATGTTTGGAGATTGAGGAGAAAACTGGTTGCAGGAGGTAACACTGTGATGATTGTGGCACACAACTGTGTCGGTTGTCCAGATATGGTGAAGAATGGCTCCAACTACCAGCAACAGAGAACCGTCTTCATTAGGATTCCGTCACATTGTGATGTGTCCCATGTGTGTGGTGAAACACATGGCCTTGGGTTCAGTTTCCAGGTGTGTCCTGGAAAGAATTGTGGTAGGGAGTAGGTGAGATACCTGTGTTATAATGAAATAGGTGATATACCTGTGGTATAATGAAATAGGTGTAATACCTGTGTTATAATGAAGTAGGTGTTATGCCTATGTTATAATGAAGTAGGTGTCATACCTGTGTTATAATGGGTGGACCTGTGTTATGGTAAAGTAGGCGATATACCTGTGTTCTAATGCTGTGTGACCAAGTTCATAGATTTCTTCCACCTATGATTGATGCATTGTACTCTGTGGTGCGTATGATATGGACTTGAGTAATGGAGACAACAACCCATCAACCCAGCAGCATGTAGAATAGGGATGACTTTCTAACAATATTACCCTATGTTAGTGAGGCGTCAGCAGTAGGGTTATCCCGTGAAGAATCCGGGTTAGAGTTGGTGTTCAGCAACCAATGCTTATTGTAAATGTCAACAAACAGGACTGGGTGGTCAGGCTCGCTGTTGGTGACAAATGTCATTGAATCCCAGTTGATCATGCTGTTGATCACTGGATTGTCTGGTCCAGTCTCGATTTTTCACGAACCGCCACCATATACAGTCAAATCCCGATGAGTCGAATGCCGGTGTCTCGAATATTATGCATAACTCGAAGTACCTGTCGGTCCCGACCATTCCCTGTTATAGTTATCGTCATTTGAATACCGGTTACACGAACTCGACTCATAAATACACACGATGACTTGAAATGGAAATTTGGTCCCATGAGATTCAAACAACAGCAATCTTGTATACTTAAGCCGAAGTCAGTCAATGAGAAGTTGATTGGTGTAGCAAACTGATCCAATTAACAAACCAGCACGGCTCACAACTTTCCGCCATTGACGGGTGAGTTCAAAAGGCAGATTAGTGATTTTACAGAAATCCCTGTCTGTGTTAATCAGACTGGAACTGATAAGGTGCCCCTATTAGTGATAGGGAAATCATTAGATAAACAAATGCTTAGGTGGAGGAATTAGGACTGGATCATCTTTTTCTCTACCCTCATAGACATGAGTATACACCGATAAGTCAAATTTATTACTTGGTCCCCAGCGATTCGACTCATCGGGATTTCACTGTAGTTGTAATATTGCCGAGTGTAGCATTAAACAACTAACCAATTTAGCATGATTGGTCTTATTTGAGACACCATTATTTGTTCAAGGAAAATGTAGTCTGGCGATGAGAAAATAAATACTTCTCATTTTAGATTTAAAATATGACTTACTGCATGAGAGTAGTAAATCTCTGGGTATTAATTGTATTGTTGCCAACTAAATGAATTTGTTTAGTATGTTCATGTAACTTACCATCTCTATATTCGTAAGAAAGTAAGAGAGTTTATGGATAACAACTTCTTTGTTATATATGATGCGATGTTTCAGTATGGATTCTTATACCATTGTTAAGCAAGAGTCTTGCTTGACAACGGTATAAGAATCCATACCGAAACGTCGCATCATATGTAATAAAGAAGTTGTTATCCATAAAGTATCTCACTTTTTATTAGGCACCAACTTCTATATGCCAATCAAACAGATCATCTCTATATTCAACATGCATAGTTGTTGAACTTCCTTGACTGGCATCTGGAAGATGGTGTGATGAACAATGAGTGCAGCTCTATTGATGTATTTGTTTTATTATGAGACGATCGACATTTCGATGTTGCTACTAACACTTGCTTCATAACAAGGTTAGTAGTTACACCAACAGGTCGCTGTGTTAAACAGGAGTTGTTTGTCCATATCCACGTTGATCATAATTGTATAGTAATGCAGGCAGGGTTGAGGTGTTTAATTTATCTGACCATGTCAAATGTGTACTCTTTTTATGTGTTGCATTTTAATGATTTGATAATATTGAGCTGGTTGTTCTGTTTCTGTTTATTACGTACACACATCTCTCAATAACTTTTGAAGTCGACATTTTGCAGAAATGGTTCTACCTATGGTGCCTGTGCTAAATTGGTCTCAGTATTCTGATCTAGTTTTGTATGTGGACAGCGTGGTGGTCTGTCTCAGATGTGGAAAGCGTGGTGGTCCGTCTCAGATGTGGACAGCGTGGTGGTCCGTCTCAGATGTGGACAGCGTGGTGGTCCGTCTCAGATGTGGACAGCGTGGTGGTCCGTCTCAGATGTGGACAGCGTGGTGGTCCGTCTCAGATGTGGACAGCGTGGTGGTCCGTCTCAGATGTGGACAGCGTGATGGTCCGTCTCAGATGTGGACAGCGTGGTGGTCCGTCTCAGATGTGGAAAGCGTGGTGGTCCGTCTCAGATGTGGACAGCGTCGTGGCAAGTTTTGCTCCTTACTCAACCATCTCAGCATTTTCCATTATGAGATTTGATATGGTATACACAGCAGTATACACTAAGAGATACACAACTGCATCAAATGTCAACACAATACGGTTTGACTGTAACATACCGTGCATTATGACATCTGTTGCATAATATACCATGTGGTATGACATGTTACACGATATATCATGTGGTATTACATATGTTGCATAATATACCATGTGGTATGACGTTACACAATATACCATGTGGTTTGACATGTTACATAATATATCATGTGGTATTACATATGCTATATATAATATACCATGTGGTGTGGCATATTACAAAATATACCATGTGGTATGACATGTTACACGATATACCATGTGGTATTACGTATGTTGCATAATATACCATGTGGTATGACATGTTACACGATATATCATGTGGTATTACATATGTTGCATAATATACCATGTAGTATGACATGTTACACAATATACCATGTGGTTTGACATGTTACATAATATATCATGTGGTATTACATATGCTATATATAATATACCATGTGGTGTGGCATATTACAAAATATACCATGTGGTATGACATGTTACACAATATACCATGTGGTATTACATATGTTGCATAATATACCATGTGTGGTATAACATGTTACACGATATACCATGTGGTATTACATATGTTGCATAATATACCATGTGGTATGACATGTTACACAATATACCATGTGATATTACATATGTTGCATAATATACCATGTGGTATGACATGTTACACAATATACCATGTGGTTTGTTACATAATATACCGTGCAGTATTACTGATGTTGACTTATTACTATGTTTTGTTCTGTACGTGATATTTGATCTTCAGTGACCTCCAACATTGAGTGAACCATTCCTGACATGATGTGTGTGTGTGCGTGTGCGTGTGTGTGTGCGTGCGTGCGTGTGTGTGCGTGCGTTCACAGAAGTCGGGTCAGATTCTAGCCAAGGGACAGGTGTCCCATAGTTTTGGACTATTTTATCTGGATCCTACCAGCTCGGTCCTGTTTCACGAACAGACCTTCCTTCCATTGATTACCCAGGGACTCACGGAGATTTTGCAATATGTTCATTTTACATTTTTGTTGTATTTAACTGTTATTTGCACTCAGAAGTATGCTAATAATTCTGTGATGTTGAATAAAGTGAGTTCAGGTGATCGGATCTGCAGCGTTTGTTTGGCGCATGATTTGTTGGGCTGGGGATTATGTTTGATACATACATACATGCATGCATGCATGCACACACGCACGCACACAAATACGTACAGGCACACGCACACGGGAGTCAGATAACCAAAGTTTTAATTACAGTTGACAAGTTTTAATTACAGTTATAATAGTTTTCATATTCCCAGAGCTAAACATACGTCACATTAGGTCTGTGCTTACCCCACGAAACTTTGCAACTACTGGGTTACTGACAGACAACTTCTCTTCGCCAGCCTAGGAAGCCTTCCTCCCGTAATAAACCCATACATACTGGAGATAGTGATGTTCCAGAGGAAGACACACAATCCTTTGAATGATATACCACTTGCTTGACAAAGACATTAGAATCTATGTCGAAACGTCGCCTATATAGAAT